GAATTGGTATCGTGAAGCCAGCAAATCCACGAAATTTGTCTATTTATATTTTACCCTAATTTCGTAGAACCTTCGCCGAGCTGGTCGAAAAGCGAAAACCCCGAGAAGGCCCGTCACAACCCCTTCACCACCCCGATCACCCTTTCCCTCAGACAGTTAACCTTGCCAAACTCTAAAATGTGACCCCCTTCTCAAAATCACTAATTCGATCCCCTCGTTTGAATACTACGAACTGACGATCCCTGACGACTCACTTGAATATTATTTTCAGAATTCAAAATTGCGACCAAGGCATGCAACACAACACCCCCTTCCCCCCCCCCCCCCCCCAAGAGAGCCACCATGTGGGTGTGCCCTCTCATGCCAAACAGCCTTCCACACCTCCAAGGCTGACTAATTAGTGTCGTAGTCTTATCTGGAAGCATAAAAACATCAATATGAAGTTCATGTGGCCTTGTTACGTCATTTACGAGCTAACTACGTATCCCAGTGTTTCAGCGCTTTTGAATGGGGGTCAAGTGCGAAATTATCGCTCCAACGATTAGACTATCGATTGCAAATCCATAATCGCTTTTCCTTTGAATACTAATTGACTCGCTACCACTGTACTTCGTCTGACGCTTCTCCATAAGCCCTTCAAATGTGTTCGTGTTACTCATTGTCTCTGTTGACGTTGCGTATTGAATAAATAAATAGTGCGTAGTGGAGGCTGGACAAACATTGTCCTCGAAAGCTTTGACGTTCCAATTTGGGAACGTCCGAGGAAATGATTGCATAGGAGGGTGAAAAATGAGGACTACCGCGAAAACTGCTGGTCTTGCCAAGCCAATTCTTCCGGAATGCACATCAACACTACACTGAGTAAGATCACTTGAAAATGGCTCAGTATTACGGTCTCTACTTCCTCGTTGTGTCGTTCTGTTTGTGTTCTAAGTCGATGTACTATTTTACACGCAAGCAAAATAGTGGACCAATCAACACACTTTTTAAATTGCTAGTGATCGCTTGAGGCTGAGGAAATTCAATTTCAACTTACCATACACGCAAAGTGGGGTAGGTCGGGCTCCGACATGGGAGTGTTAATTCTTCGGCCGAGGCGAAGAGTGTTATATCTAATGCGTCTCGGCGATGCAAGTTTCGGATAGGTATCAGCGTGGCGATGCTAGAATAGGGAATTTCCGGAAATAAATTTTGGGGCGCTATTCGCAAAGGATGCGGGAGTATCTTCTTAGGTCTGGCCTGGAAGTGGGAATGAACTTCGGGAAATGAAAACTGCTCACAACCTCGAATCGTCCTCTCACATCCAAGGCTTAGTCCGTGTTTTGCCGAGAGAGAATGTTTCGTTGTACGTTTAGGTATTTGCTTCCACAATGCCCGATATCTTGCGAGTAGCGCCTGATCATGAAATTTTTTCTGGAATTTTTGAGAAATTTACCAGATACCTTTTTGTATGACATGTTTACGCCTCCTCGCGCAACCAAATTTTTTTATCCGGGCTACCACCCATTTGACATCGTAGTCTTTGCCCCCTCATAAGTCAAGCCCTTAGCTGGTGTCAATGTAAAATATAAAAGGGCAAAGCAAAGCAAAAGTCGGCGCAATCGCAAGATACATACGTGGACATCCTCTGGGACTGCAGCCAGGGGGGGGCAGATCGTGAAATTAAAAACTGTCCAAGGCAGCCTTACCCTCCCCCCCACGCGCTGAGAGCACCTGATTCTCAGAAAGCAGGTGGCTAGCAGAGATGTGAACTGCAGAGGCGTGTAGATCGGAATGTGATGACCCCTTTAACCATAGCTGAGAAGAGAGCGGCGCAATGTGCCTGCATGCAGCTAATCTCTAGGAAGGCCACTAGGACTAACCATAAGCCTAAGAGGGGGGGGGGGGCAAATTCCGTGAAGAAGGAGAATTGCTTACGCATTCTTGGATTCCCTCCTCTCCTGTGGTGGCCCAGTCTTAAGACTGATCGACGGCTTGGTGAATTTGAAAGGCAATCTAACGGGCTGCCCGCATGTTTGCGCAAAAATTGCTCCATTGGTGAAAATAGCTTCTTCAACTTGTAGCCCTCAGCTTTCCACGGACGGAAATGACACCGTTTTTCCTCACTTTTTGCATTATCTTTATTCATTTCTCGTAGCCAGATCGCTATTTTCACATTCTACAGTGGATGTCAACTATTGATATTACCGTACCCCCTGTCTTTAAGTTTTTGAACGATTACCATTTTTCAGGACCCTTTTTCTGGATTTACGGCGCAACCAATCAACGCCGCATACTATATGCCCGGCGTGTACAATGGCGGCTATAGCCATGAGCCGTATGGACACAACGCATATATAGGTGAGTTTATCACCCTATATATCTTGGATCAATCGATAGTTGAGCTAAATAGGCAAAAAATCAAAAATCATGGTCCTTCTAATGATTCAGATGCCGCATACGTTGACACGCAACAGTTCCCATACTACGGTGGTTACACCTACACACCATATTATGCTGATGGTCAGGCCTATCGCAGCTATGCCTACCAGGCAAGTCAGGCCTATCCCGGTGCCTACGGTCCGTACCCGGGAGCGTCAGGGGCCTACAGGCCATACCCTCAACCGCAACCGTCACCTCCAAGAAGATCACGGTGGGTTGAAAAATTGTTTGAAACTTGTTATTTTCTCGAGAACTCATGCCGATTGAAAAATTTGGAAAGAGATCGATCAATCGGTAATTATATCCTTTCTAGAACAGCGCCTAGTCGTGCAATGCCGTTCTCCACACGAGCAAACGTTCCGTCATCGCGGAAACCTCGAGGGGTTTCGGTTGATCAGTACGACAAGCGACAGTTCAAGGTGGGTTACCAGGCGAGATTTGGGTCTTTTTGTGGTTTTGTGGAGTAAGATAGCGAGAGAGCCCTTCCGAGAGGGGTAAATTGGAAGTGGATGTCTAACATCAGCCGATTTTCAGGCAGTTTCCGGTCCTATGAAGAAACCATCACCTGCGTACAGAAAAACTCGTGATCCCTATACGTATCGATTAGCACAATACCAGGTACTGAGTTTTGGTCTTTATGTCACTTTTTTCTTACCCACATTACCCTTTTATGTGGATCGTGTGGGAAGTTAGTTTAGGACATCGTTAACGATGTTCTTGTGTTTCCAGTTTTTACTGCGATACGTAACAAACTCGTATTTAAGTTGACGCTAAATTGCTACAGTACGCGCTGCAACTCGTCCGCTCATCCCTCTGCGTCTCTGCCTTCCTGCCCCACGACGGAGTTCCTGTCGGGCACCCGAATTTCGTGCGGTCCCCTGCTAGCGCGATTTGTCGTACTTGGCGAGATTAACCCCTGTTTTTCGGTATCCCCAGGGAAAGAGTAAGGCGAGTC